AATAATTAAAGATACTAACCCACAAGAAAGTATCATCTTTAGATCTTTCCAGGGTAAGTCTATGAGGAAAAAAAAGCACTTGTCAGGAACAGATATGGAAGACAATATTCTATGGCTAAACTGGAATTACAACACTGCATCTGACAGGGTTTGAGATACAAAATCACCTTTGTCATGAGCAGTTGAATGCTTAGCAAAGCCAAAGCACCTGAAATGTTCTGTATTGCCATCAACAAAATGAAGAACTGCCTTAAAACACATATTTTAAGAACCACAAGAGACGGCTGCTAAGAAAGGGACCTTACCCCTACTCAATTTCACATTATGACTTAGTCCATCATTTCTGTTTGGATCAGAAAACACCTCTTTTTTTCATGCTGCTCAGAAGTCAAACTTTCAGCACTAAAAGAAGGGGTGCAGTTTTTCCTGGGAGCTGATGGGTGCATTTTGCACTCCAGGTAGGCACTTGCAACGAGCCCCTAAGCCCTGCCTAACACCCTCTGAAGTGACAGCACGCAGGCTATGCTGCAGATTTTACTGCCAGCCCCTCCACTCTCTAAATCGGATTTTTATTTGCTGGTCATGTACTCCACAGACATTCAGAAGCCAGAAGGCTTAAAATCTACTATTGCTCTATTTTATTACTGCTCAGAAAGTGGTATCTCAGTAGTTCACCAATGGCTCAGCAAAGGCTCGATTCTTCTGTGCATGTCCATAGCAACACTGCTCTCCATTAAGAACTGTGCACACACGGATACAGCAAGGGAAAAAGGATACACAGATTTCCTAACTTGATATGTCAGCAGCTCTCTGACATCAAATGCTGGTATTAGAACTCTGCAAGCTTATCCCCCTATAGACATTCAAGACCCCCACTTCCTTGTTATTCTGCATCCTGTACAAAAATCAAGGCTTAACTTCATTAGCCAAGTTTGGTGACCACAAATTTTCACCTCCTGCTTCACTGCACCCTCTTGAAGCCCAGATTTTCTACCCTCCTGATTCACGTTATGGGAATAAAGTTATTTTATTTCACTAACAGTTAATGAACAGCAAATATATACTCATGTTTTACTCTTACTGGTTTTATTCTTTAAATACTTACTACAGTTTGTTTTGGAGCTAAGCCTAGTTAGAAGAAGATTTCTATGACCAGTCCCTACATGAGGGCAAATTTAGGGTAAATTGTGCTAAGATTTCTTCCCCAGCTCACCTTTTTTTCTTTCACCAGGTGAAAATGATCTAAGTTGGCCCAGTTCTTGTCTGTCTTTTAAAAACAAGCTTTTAACACAGAAAAACAGATGTATTTGTTCAGAGAGCAAAAGCAGATCATGATCTGGCAAAAGACTGTCCTACATACTCAGGACTTCAGGGCCACCCCACGCATTTAGGTTGAGTGTAATTTGATGCTTCCTCATTTTGCAGCTCATCTCTGAATCCTTCAGTGAAGAAGCTGCAATCCAGAGTGCTAATGTTAAAATCCCAGAACATCAAACTTCTGTAACAGAAATGCCAACAGCTTTATCTGAAAGTAGCATTGCTGGGTACTGGAAGATGAATGGCATATCCAGGGTATGTACTGGAAAGAGACCTCCAGAACACAGCATTTCCACACGGGGCAGTAAAGTCATGATACAAACATCACAGAATTTACCTGGGAACTGCAATGAAATGCACAATGAAATCCATTATTTAGGATCCCTTTTGGATACAGCAGCAATATGCCTGATTTGACACAAAAAAGCATACAAGAATAAAGATCCACGGAATTCATATGGCTGAGGTAACACAGCTCAACTCTGCACTCTTTTAAAAGTCCTTGCAGAATCAAGACCTTTTCATATACTTAACACTGGAGAAAAATATCAAACTTCAGTTTGCTTCTGAGTGTGAGCTCAATGCCAAAATGTATTGTGAGAAGGGAGAAGCACGTTTTAATGCAACAGTAAGTTCCTCCTATTATACACACACCCCCGCACCTGTCTATGGAATAATGTTTAATTGGTTAATAAAGGAAAGGCAACATTTATATTATGATATCAAATCTCTTCAGTCCAGAGAAGCAACCTCATTTATAAGGGCTGATCTAATACTCCTTAATTTTATGCAGTATTGCAGGTTATTTTACAAAACAGAAATGACAGTTCTGTATAAAAAAGAATTCACGGACATATTTAATTTTTATCCATCTTCAAATCACTGTCATAGCAGCCTATCCTTCACCTGCTCATATCCACCATTTTCAAGTGGCTTCTGAAAAAAAAATTCCTTCACACTGCTTCACTGATAGTCATGGCTTGATCCTATGAGCACACATGAGAAACCAGAAAATTCAACTTCTTGAAAAACAGGTTTGCTTTTTTATTTTATTTTTTTAAGAATCGAGAAGAACACTTCAACAGATAAGAAATTCAGTGAAAAGCACAGTTGACATATTCCCCATACAGTTTTCTTATCTGTCATCTTGTGTTGACTGGGAAAAAAGTAACAAATTGGGGAAGAGTAAATTAAAGCTCTCACTATTGCCTTCCCAGATCAAGACTGAGTCCTTCCTTTCAACCCATGAACTTTTGGGACCAGGACCCCTCATGCCACTTGGCCTTAGCACCACATCTAAGCATCTCACCCCTTGCACCTTACTTGCAAAGACAAGCACAAATAACAGAACAGTTCCAAGGCAAGAGACTTGTGGAACTCACTACTGGGACATGCAAATGTGGGATGTCACACTTTGTACAGCACAGGGAGTTGCATCAGGGCTTCACAAACCCCTGGTGAGTGGCTAGAAAGACATCAATTTAGAATTGAATTGCTTCTGATTTTCTTTTCAAGAACCTGAATGAAAAATTCTTTGTTGAGAAAAAAATTTTAAATTTATCTTGAATCAAAAGCATTTTCCTCCCTAATGTTTTTTTTTCTATCAGCTACCAAACCAAAACATTCAGCTATGCATGCAACCCTAAAGCCAGTGTTGCACACTGATGAAGACAGTCACCTCTTCATTTCCACTGCATCAAGTTATATCTACCAGTCTCTGTTAATTCAGTCTACGAAAGATGGCATTTGTAACAGAGATTGTTAATGCTTCTAGAAAATAAAATCATATTCTAAAATTACTGCTCTCATTTGTGACCTCTTTAACTCTCATAAAGCAGGTGATCCTGGTTAATGACTAAAACGCAAACATCTGCTTATCCCCCTCAAAAAAAAAATGGATTAATAAAGCTGAAATTACACAGTTAATGGCGTGGATAGTCTCCCACAGAAGTGTGATCACATTTCAGAACATTACATCTAGCTCAATTTTAATAAAATTAAAATCAATTACTATTGCTACATCCTCAGCTATTTTAAGCCTCCTATGGTTTCATAAACAGTAACAACAAGAATATATTGCCTCGCTTTTGGAAGAAAAAATTAATTCAGTAAAGGAAGAAATACAGTCTTTTATCTGTAACCACTACACATATTATTCTGCACTCTGACATAAATCTGAAAAAAGCAAAAATATCTGTAATTATATATGAAAGTTCTAGTCAAAGCAAGGAAACTGCATAACTGACAAGGAAGATCTTGTTGCTGTGTAATGCCTTCCAATAAGCATGTCATATAGTTTTTAGCTCAAAATGAGAGGAAGCCATGAATTATTCAAGAACTTGCCCATTTGTTACCAAAACTACTTTGTCATGTAAATGAGCAGAGTTTTGAAATTTCCCTGAAAAAAGTATGCCCCAGAATTTGATCCAAGATCAATTCTTTATTTTTCACAAAAGATTTGCATTAAAATGTTTCAGAGTATTAAACTAGTAACTTGATTATCACAACAATGACTTCTTATGAAAAAGCACGGCTCCGTTGAAACATATAAATCACCATCTTCCTGTAACATTTCAAAATCAGGGACTTCACATCACACCCAACCTCTGACAGAGCAGCTGATAAAATAATAACTCCAAAGGCTGCAACACAATCCAGCTGCTGAGTTTGGCAGATATATCCAACATTTAAACTGGACATTGGTGCCCAGTACAAACCCCCACAATGCAGGGCACAATCTTTGTTTCAGTAGCATTGCTCAGGATCAAAACGGTCTGAGGCAGCTGAGGCAGCAAGACTCAGCAGAAATGGACAGAGAGTGGATTCTGGGTTTTGAACAGTGCTGTTATTTGCTGCAATATTTGTTATTTAATTCATGAAATGTGTGTAATTTCAGTATGGAACAGCAGAGAAGGATGAAGAAAACTTATTATCTGAAACTGAATAGTTTAAAACCAAATAATACAAAGTATCTGTAAACTCCTTCTAATTAAAAACGGGATCATTTAAGGAATATTTATTCATTCATTCATTCTTTAAAAGTCCTCCTATTTTTTATCTTCTCATTTTAGGCATAGAGATGACATCAACATCTACATGATGGAAATCACGAGCTCTAGCACATGTTTAATTTAAGGATCATCCAACAGTTCCAAGATACTGAGAAATGCATTTTGGTGCCTTACCAAAAGAGGTCTGCTTAAATGTATGATAAATCATAATTGTATATTAAAATAAACATTTCTTCAAAACCAGACAGAACTGTAATTCCCCATGGCCTGATCTCATTAGAATAATTCAAACTGTAACTCTCTAATAACTCAGAGGATTTGAAACAGAACAGTACTTAAACAAAATACTTCATGATTTAAGAAGTACCAGGTTCTGAAGGTTTACAGAAAATTGAGAATTTGCAAATGTTGTACTTAAAAAAAAGAAGTAATTAAGTGAAAGCACATTAATTATAGCTACTGCACGAGAGCTATAATTACTAGGGAAACTAATTTTGAGACAAAGCATTATGTGACATATATAATTATGAGAATAAAAAAATGAAAATTTATTAAGTGGATGAATACCTCAATTCTAATAGCTAAAATGATTTTTTAACCAATATCAAATACTCCATACATTATTAACCAATAATCCCCACATTCTTATTTAGACTTTAATACAATACTCACCTTAGAACACACGTGTAGAAACCACTGTCTTGCAGCTCAACCGAGTGAAACCATATGGAATCTTCATCCTTGCTCATCCTAACTTCGGAAAATATAATGGGTTCTTCTAAATCTCCTTTGTTTTTGTACCACATAAGCCTAAGACCTGTGCTTTGGGCCATGCTATAATTAGTTCTGATATAGCTGTAGAAAAGGGCACATTTCACTCGGACTGGTTCACCTGCCAAAGCCATGTATGTCTTGAGATCCACTGACCAGTCAATGCAACCATCAACTGAAAGCAAAACAATAATAAAGAAATATTAGACACAGATACATTTTTCAATATAGTGAAAGGCAGCTTGGGAAATGCAATACAGTACATAAAAAAAAATGGCTTTTGGCATGTGCAGAATTGTTTCAGGGTAATATGAAAAATCTAAAGCAGTTATTGGCAACTAAGAGGTGTCACACACCTTTTTTAATTACATATAACTGTGAATGTGCAGGCAATAAAAAAAGCACAGTGAGTTTACTCAATTCCACTTCTTTAGAATAGCATTACTTTAATCCCCAAAACACTAATTCTTTATTAAATAAACCAAATGTTTTACACGTTAACTACTTGCCTCTGTAAACCAGTTTTGAATTCTCCAATTCCTTGTTGAAGGAAAATGTACATTGGCATCTGATGCCAATCTTATCCCTTAAAGCTTTTCCATCCACCTCTGTTAATTACATTATGCAAAAAAATCCCTAAATAACAGATGTGACATTTATAATTTTCTTTTCAAGGCAGTTCCACATAGTCGGTTTTTTCCCTACAGCCTACTCAATCTGTAGAGGTCTGTATTATACACAACAGGATACAATTACAACATGCTGCCTATGCAATCAAACTTAATACAGGAGTCATACAAATAAAAAAGAACCTCTTTTGATGTTCTGTTCAGCAAAAACTCTTGAAACAGTTTTCTTAATACTTCACTTTAAAATTAACATACATCAGACATTTTAATAAAAGTTCACTTCTCCCTACCATTTTTTCTCCATTGCTATTATCTTAGTTACAATACAGTCCTAGCACATGCACACATATCAACATATCACATATCAGATACCTTTTAATTCAATCTTTTTCATTGCTAAAAAAACTATAAGCGTGAAAATCAGCCAAGAATAAAACCAAAGAAAAAGCTTTCAAAGACAGATCATCAAAAGGCAAACACAATACCTAAAGTTAATAGACTTCATTAAATATGTAGGGTTTAGAATTTATTGATCATATCTAGCTACAAGTAAATGGAACATCTTTACCCTTAATGCAGCTCTTCATTCAATCAGGTAACTCTCAAGTTGCTTCTTCTGCATTTACAGTATCAATTCTCAAACTCTAAGTGTTGGATATCCTCATACACAGTTTCATACACATTGTCAATTATATTCTGTCATCAAGTGATTTTTAAGTTTACTTCCTAAACAAAGGTAGTTATCAAAAATTTCTGTACATGGAATATCAGGTATGACCCTACTTTTAGTGACTTTTACAGCCTTTAGATTATATCTACCCAGTTTTCAGGTTTCCCTTTAATCATTCAAAAGTAACTGTGACAAATGGAAGGTTTTAATTTTCCCATCACAGTAAATCAGCTTTAAGTGTACTGTGATCACACGAACCATATGTTAAACTTGTTAACACTGACCACTTTAATACTTTCCTGGTATATAAACTTCCATGTAACATCCTGCTGCAAAGCAAACTTGTAAAAAGAAAACCTTAACATAAGGTCAGCAGGGAAGGGAAGCACATTACTCAAAACATTACTCATGAGTTTTGACAGGTGAAGGGAGATCCTGGAACACCTTTACCCCCTGGGTGTTTCCTATTCCTGTCCCCCACCCCACAAACAGGTGCAAAAGCAGCAGCTGTTTGTGCTTCTTTCTTCATCAAAAAAGCCCCCAAACAAAACCCTTCACCTGAATTTATATACACACTGTTCCAATTAACTTCAGTTTTGATTTTCATTCTCATTTTGCTGACAACATCCTACTGATTTAAATTAAAATTCATTGCTTTTAATGGCCGCTGTTAATGACATCAACTGAAAGGTCAGCAGCAATTTACTGATGTTCCTTTTCCTTGCTGCTTCCATTGTGTCCTTCCTCTAACACTTAGTGCCACACACAATTGGACAAGTTTGGATAATCATTACGTGAAAATCCTGTGCTGAAGCATTTGTTCTCAGTGCATCGCCTCCAGGTTTATAACATCCTTCACCATGACCAAAGCTGCACATTGTAACTTGAACGTGCCCTTGACAGGACCCCAAGAAACATCACATTGACCTCTCTCTGTGCTGCTGCTGCACAGACATGGGCAACCCGCAGCAGAGCTGGAGAAAGAACCTGGTTTTCCCAGTCCTGCAACCCCATCCAATCCACCTTTACATCAAATGCCTGGTTCTGACATCATGCATTATTTTATATATGTGACAGGACTTTTACATTGAGCAGGTATCATTGCACTCCACACAGAGCTTTCTCAGAAAAGCTCTGTGCTTTTTTAAAGTCCTGCTCTTTAGGCTGGTGTGATTTACAATTAAACAACAGAGTGCAATTAAAGTGCAGAGCTCTCAGCTGCCTTCTCTCAGTGAGGGATGTGCAAGGCAATGCTGAGCTCTCCAGATGGCTCATCCCTTATTCTCCAGGACACGTAGGTATACTCAAAGGCACCCTCTCTTGTGATTTAGCAAAGTCACAGAAGTCTAAGTAGGGCAGTAAGTTGAAATGAATACGGGTGTCCAGAGCTGGAATGTAGATCCAAACTAATTCAGCCGATCTTGTTAATTCAGCCAATCTAATTAATTCTGCCACTCTTGTGTCAATTGAATCTTGTCACATCATCTAACGCTTTCAAACCTGTGCTGGCTCAACAAAGTCAAACCACACCAAAGAATAGCTAACAATGAGACACACATGGAAATCTTGTGGATCAAGTGCCAGGTTTTCATTTATTTCACAGAGCAGTCACAATTAGTAGGAGTTCTGTAGTTAGAAACTGACCCAATATAGAAATCCAAATTTGGAAGCTGAAAATATGCTGCTTCCAATGAAATTTCTCCCATATCCGCACCAAACTTGTCAAAGCACAGCTCAAACGAACACTAAGCAACCCTCAGTGTCATTCAATTTGCCTCGTCCTCCACTTTCATTTGAAAATTTCCCTTCTCATGTGCAAGTCTCTTCTAATTCCAGAACTTGAGCTGTTGAAGTGTAGGAAGCACACTGGAACAGATGAAAGGCATTTGAACAATAATTTACAGCCAGGTCACCAGAGTGTTATAAATGAGTTAACGAGGACGGAGTTGGGGATAATTAATTGATAAGTGTTAACTGATAAGTGTTAATTGATAAGCATTAACTGATAAGCCTTAATTGGTGTTATAAATGGGTTAGTGTTTGGGAGGGGAGTTGGGGCTGTTAAGTGATGTAACAATGTTATTTAATATTGTATTGTAGATAAGCTATGTTGTAAGTTAATTATCAGAAGTTATAAGTTGTTAGTCAATTGTTATAAATAATCGGAAAGTGCCTAAAACGGCCGCGGGTGAAGGGTGCTTGGAACTTTCTGGAGCATTATCTCATGGTGTGAAGTCAACAGTTTGGATTTTAATCGGACAATGTGTCAGAGACAGCTAATCAGGAAGGGAAGCAATCGGAAGGAGAATCGGGGGACGCTCGAGTCCGAGAAGACCAAGGGGTACAAAGACCCCGAGCACTCAGCCTCCCCGTCTTTCCGAGGGAACACCCTGTGCCGGGGGCGCCGCTCTTTTTGTTTGTATTTTATCCTGTCTGACTTGCCGAGCGGGGCTCCAGCTTATCTTGGGCTCCCGCCTCTGATGCTTTTAAAATAAAACTCAGCTGGCTTTCCTAGAAAGTCTAAGCGGCGTTTATTTCAAGAGTGGCTAAAACCCCTCTCCAACTGCCCCCAGAGGACAACACAATGGTGGGGACAGTGCTCTGCTGGCCATTGCCAGCGCTCCAGTCCAGAGACACCAGACACAGTGACCTGAGCCCAGCACAGCACCTGCATCACAAGGAAAAATGTGAAGAAAAGGAAATTTACACTAGAGACTTTTTTCCCTATTAACAGTATCGGAGTGAAATAATTTGAGCAGCCCACAGGAGGCTGACCCCAAGAGGGAGTGGGGTGGAGGGGAAGGTGCAGGCAGGCAGCTCCCCTGTGACAGCTCTCCCTGCAGCAGGCCAGGAGGGGGTAATTACAGAGAGAAGAGCACACAGGGAATGCAGCAACCAGTCATTATAGTGCTGATGACATCTACGGAGGGGAGAAGCCTCACCGAGTGCCTCGACTAAATCTTAATTATTGAAGAAAGACTAATCAAACAGGAGATGACTTTTCCCCCCTTGCTCTTCTTTTCTTGTTAAATACACAGGTAAGAATGTTTCCTCTTCTCAAGCTGTAGAGGATAAAATCTAGGTCAGGCTCCCTGCACTCACATGGAAACTGGAATTTTTCCTCTTGCTGTGCTGTCAGTCACTGGAGCGTGAGCATTGTTAGATTCGTTTGGAGTATTCTCCAAGCTGTCATTACAAATGACTGGAGCTGCTTAGGTGGAGTTCAGCACTCCATTATCCAGAACAAAGTTTGCTGTCATTTTTGTTGGGCTGGCTCTCAATATGCAATATAATCAGGTTGGTGAGAAAAATAATAGCATTAGAGAAGCACTTATATAATAAATGTATATACACCATTTCTCTGTTACCCTATAATCACCTGGTAAGTGCCTGACTGGAAGCTCATTCAAATTAAATCCTGTCTATTGCGGATGTACTTTACACACTTCCAACACAGATTTTTTTTTTAAATTGGAACACTAAGAGAATATGGAAAACATTGTCCCATTTTTATCCCAGGTTCCTAAGGAAAAGTGGTTTGCCCACCTATCTGTCAATCTGCCCCATCTCCTTAGCATAACTTCTACCCCAGCTGACGAAATTCAACCCTATTGCATAGAACATGAAAGTGCCCAGCAGTGCTCTCTCCTACACGGGTGCAGAACAGGGTCCCATTCTGTCCCAATGAGCTGGGAAACAGCAGCAGTGAACCACAGTGCAGCCCAAGGGGGCCATCCCAGTTACCTACTGAGGCTACTGCAACCTGAGCAGAGAGCGAATTGAAAATGAAGGCTACAAAACTATTAAGGAAAATATAGATTGAGTTGGGTGACAATGTTACTGTACTTTTATGTTAGCAATCACCCAAAGCATGTA